CAACATGTTGCAATTGTTGGATTACGGGGAATTGGCATTTCGGATTCCGCTATTCTTATTGATTATCTATATTTTAAAAAAATTGATGACATTTAAGGTAAAAAATCTTTGGAGTTTGAAGTCTTTGATTGTACTATTTAACTAAAAAAAATCCAATTTTTCGTTTAATTTCCGCTAATTACAAATGATCGTACTTTGTGCTGATAGAAACGCGCCTTCTTGGCACAACTCGAACAACAAATCGTTTACATTGTAGTGCTAATTCTCTTACTACAATTAGTGCAATAGAAAGTTTGCGTTTACCATTACGAGCACAAACAACCACAACTCAATTGTAAACATTTGATCGCTACTTGTCCTCTCAAAAAGATGTTTTCTAAAAAGTGAAAAAGCTACCGTAATCCAGCAACAAGTTTTAACTCAGAATTTCACCGGAAAAATTCCTTAAAATAGCTTTTAAGCGTTTGGAGTAGCTTTTAAGCACAACTTTTAGAAAATATTGGGTTGATGTAAAAGTCCTTTCCGATTTTTTGGGAGAGTACCTTAAATTTGTCGAATTTTGACGTTTTATAGCTCATCCTAAAGCTGAATTCAAGACGGATCGATTGGTAAAAACCGTTTTGAGATATCTCTTTCAACAAGATAAACAAGAAAAACGAAGGAAAATCGCGAAAAGCGGCGGAAAGGCTATTGATCTGAGGGTCGCTGGTTCGACTTCCACCGGTGACAATATTTTTCAAAAATTTTTTGCTAAGTTTCTGAAATTATTTTTGACGGGGTTATTTTTGACGCTGATCACAAAACACATGTTTTTAGCCTAGGTTTCTGCACGGAAAACTAACGAAGCGTGAAAACAGCCAACGTGGAAACCGCCCTTTACTAAAATAGCTGTAAAAGCTTTTAGAAAAGAGATATCTCAAAACGGTTTTTACCAATCGATCCGTCTTGAATTCAGCTTTAGGATGAGCTATAAAACGTCAAAATTCGACAAATTTAAGGTACTCTCCCAAAAAATCGGAAAGGACTTTTTCATCAACCCAATAACTTTTAAAATTTACTTAAAATTACTGACTTTTACTTGTAAATTCAGGAACTCAACCCGATTCTTGTCGCAAATTTTATCCTTGTTTTCACTGACTTTTTCTACATCATCACATCAACAATTCACGATAATACAGCGAAAATCTGGGAAATCGAAACTTTTGGTTTCATTGAGAAAATGTTTTCGAATCAAAAACAAAAAAAGTTTAGGTTCTATAGGTGTGTTCATTTTTTTGTACACGGCCAATATTCGATATTGGATGCAAATCTATCTTTTCTTTTTGATTTCCGTCATGCACTTGGTGGCTATTTACGCGCCTGGACACTATCGATCGTTGAATTTGAGATGGACATTTGGATTGATGGCTATTCCGATGGCGTTCACGATTCGTGAGTACATTTGTTTTTGTTTGCTTCAACAAATTAGAACAAAACATACATACATATCGTAAATACTGGAATAGTACCCCAGCCCCATGATGACGGTGCGGAGTGTTGCGTAGTCTAGCTTTGAACGAGTTTTTCTCGACACTGGTTTATGCTACAGTGTGCGCTTAGGTATCAAAAAATAGCCCTGAATTTCAGCTATTTTTTGATACCAAAGACGCATTTTTTGAAAGTACGGGTGCTTTGCAAAAAAGGAAATACTAAAAAACTGTTGCGACTACGCGACTGTACGAGCGCGGGGGGGCTCCGGGGGTGGGTTCCTCGGTTCCTTCTCTTGTAAGCCCGGTTCCTTATCTCTTTAATTCGGTTCCTTATCTCTCTAGTTTCAGTTCCATGTCTCTTTAAATTCGGTTCCTTATCTCTCTCGTTTCGGTTCCTTATCTCTCTAAATTCGCTTCCTTATCTTTCTAAATTCGGCTCCTTTTCTTATAGACTCGGTTCCTTATCTCTTTGATTCGGTGGGGTACTATTACAGTATTTACGGTATCTTAGTAAAAAGGTAAAGTCAAAAATGAGAAAGAAAGATTTCCGGAGAGTGGATTGAACCCTCGACCTTTTTTGTATTGCAGAAAGATGCTCTAACCACTAAGATATTTGGTATCTTGAGAAGAAAGAGGGAAAACAAAGGAAAGAGTAAAGAAGAAAGAGTCAAATATGCTGAATAATCTCATTATTTGTCCCTTTCATTAGTACTTTACAAATTCGAACTCAATTTTCATTGTTCTCTAGTTTTGCCGAGGGTTTTCAATGCATCAAAAAGATTGCGTTTACATTTGTGAGCACAAAGTACAGTCCTAGATTTGTCTCTGAGTATTTTCTACTGAAAACAAAAGCACACACTTGCTGATACACTTGTTCTCATTAAAATAAGCTTTCTACGCCGCCAAAAAGATGTAGATTAGTCTTTTTATTATAAAGTTTGCTCACATTATCATTCAAAGCTGAATTTCAATCAATCATCAATCAATCATCAATCAATAATCAATCAATTTTCAGTAACGGATACAATCTACTACACAGTTTGCGCCTGTTTGTACTATCAAATTCCTGGCTATTATATAATGGTTATCCCAGAAAGACAAGAAATTGAAGACAAATTTGAGATCTATGATGCTTGGTTGAAAGTAGGCAAAAGGAAATTAATGTTGTAATTGGAAAAATTGGAAAACTTAGATCACAATGCTTTTATTGTTGATTGGCACAGATGCGGCGATTATTTTCAAGCTTTACAAGATGAACATTTTGGGAACGAAGAGGAAAAGATTTCCGGAAGCGATTGGGAGAACTGGTGGGATTCAGGGGAAACGATATGCCTAGATGGAGAAAACTCTCGCATTTTTCAACTTCTAGCTTTTCAATACTTTATCTACAGGATAGAGCCAAGATTGAGAACTGTTTTCGAAGAGATTTTGAAGCTGATTCTAGTCTTTCATCAGTTATTACCAGTACAATCCTAGCCCTCATCTCTCAAACAAAAGAGAGATCAACTAAAATTCTATCTGTGCGTGAGAAAGTGAAATTAAAACCTCTTTATGCGTTTTTGTTTAGATTAACTATAAATTCTAACTAGAACTGGAAACTTTCGGTGTGTATACCGTATTTTCTCTAATAGTAGAGCTTCTGCAAAAGCTTGAAAACAGTAAAATCGTCATCAACTCGGCTCGGCGGGAAAATACGGTAGTCGGTTTTTCGGCTTTAAGATAAGTTGTAAAATTTCCGATCCGAATTTCGGATTTGAGTGATGAGCCTTTGTGAAAACTTTGAACAAAGCTGGAAAGCGTTAGCATTACCGATTGCTCACTGTTAAATCAACCAAAACTTTATTTTGAACACTGTCACAAGCCGTTAACTATTTTACTGATAATTCAGTGTAAGTTAAAAGAAAAACAAATATATAGTCATTTGATAGCCCTGAATCTCCTCTTGAAAACGAGTACAAAATTACTGAGAACTTCACAAAATACCTAAGCTTTGCCAAATTCCTCGAAATCTCGAGAAACGCTTATCAAAACTATCGAGTGCGGTCGGAAAATGGCTGACAATGGACTAGTGGGGATTAAAGAGTGTTGAGCTTCTGTGAAGCTTGGGAGCTGTAAAAATAATCATCTAGCCGGCCGGGGGAGGGGAAAGGGCACTACAATTAGAGAAAATACAGAATACCGTATTCTCTCTAATAGTGTGCACCCTAAACAACCTAAATGCTCGAGATCTCGAGAAACGCTTATCAGAACGTATCGATGTGGGATCGGAAAATGGTGCGATGAGATATTGTGGGGGATTTGAGTGTTGAGCTTCTGCAAAAGCTTGGAAACCATAAAATAGTCATCAACTCGGTTCCTTGGGTGCACTACTATTAGAGAAATACGGTAATAGGCGTGCAACAGAAAAATGGCATATCTCCGTCAATTTCACTTCGATCTTTTTAGATTTTCATATCAATTGACGCACAATTTCATTTTCTGTCGATTCAAATCAAAAACAAAAAGAATTGAGTGAAATTGGTCATGATATGGCATTTTTCCGGTTAAAAATAAGACAGTTAGGTTAACTAAAGCTGCTCCAGCTTCGTAATGTTAGCTTTTTCGTTAACAGAAAAGATTTAGAAATTTTTTTGGAAAGAAAAAACTCCAAAAGACAATTTTATTTTTTGGTCTATTCCTAGGTTCTCAGAATAAGAAAGAGATTTTCAAATCCAAAAAAAAAAACTCATGCCCATTTCCAGGCCAAACAATCGCCACTCCATCAGCAATTTTCATCATCGAGCAGTCAACCGTTAATCGATCAACGCCGAAACAGGTAAAGATTCAAATCCAGCATAGATAGAGCAGCATAAATGAGCAATCTATGATCTCTATTTTTAGCCAAGAAATTTTCTTTAATTCAGTAGCTTAGCTCTGGCCTGGCTTTTTACAAAATTGCAGCAAAAAAAAGAAAAAAAGTTTCTAAACAAATTTTTCTGGATTTACTCAGAAATTGTCTAAAGACTAAAAGACTAAAGACTCAAAGTTTTGATACTTTAAAAGACTTCTAAATTAAGCATTAGAGGCTAATTGTGAACAGAGTCAAGCAGAGAATCCATTTTGCAAGGAAAAGCTCGCATTAAAAATGATCTACTATTAGGTTGAAAAGAAAGTTGAAAAGAAAGTTGAAAAGAAAGTTGAAAAGAAAGTTTCAAATTCATTACTATCAATTGAATCTTCAGCCAACTAATCGATCAAAGATTTCAATCGATAAGCGCTTAGCGATCGCTTTCACGTGGATCAGTTTCGCGTTTATTTTGATGACTCTCTACTTTCGATATTGGTATATGTAAGTTTTCTAATGTCTAGAATATCTAATTTATTTTGTTTTCTTTTTGTTTCTAATCTAAACCAATTTTTTTTGACAGTTTTCCCATCGAAATCCTTCAATACACGGGTTTTCTCGTCTACAACTTGGAAATAAGCAAATGCGTGATTTATGTACTGATTGTGACAAAGAAATGAATTTATCTGACATAAAAAGTTTCCTTATAAATACTCTGAATACCACTTTTCGGCATATCGTGCAGCTTGATGGATGTACGAGTGAAGTTTCGCTTCGCAAGAGACTCGAGCGGCTGGCTTTTCGGATTCTGAAAGTTGAAAGAATTTGTAGATTTATGCTTTATGAAACTTGAAAAATGATAATGAAATTCACTAGAAATTGACTTTATTTCTGCTTATAAGGACTTGCTTATGACTTTAAAACAAAAAAATACCGTAATTGATGCCTTACAAGCGGCCCTTTTAACTTGAGACCAAGTTCATCTTTTAGAGATCGAGATCGAGAATCTGTTTTTTTGTTTTTGCAAAACGTTTCACGAGAGATTTTGTTTAGAAAATCATCTTGAATTTTGAGTTTCTTATAAGGCCGTCATACGATTCGCTAATTCAAAAAATGTTAGAACCTTTCAAAGTATCACAATCAGTAGAGATCAGTAAATGCACCAGGCATACAAAAACTACAAAATTAGATGTTCTGCAAAAAGTTCGAGATTCCCATGGTCGACTCGATCGGATGGACTTGGTCTCAAGTCAAAAGGACAGCTTCGTCAAAAAGCCAATGCCTTTCCCTTGTCAAACCCCAATCAGAATCAATATCCAATACCTGGCAATGGAGAGATGATCTTTTCAACAAAGAATTCCATTCCGAGAAGACTGCCGAGTAGAACGACTTTCAAGGGAAACACGTGTTCGAAAGCCGTTTTCATCTGAAAATCACAACACTACATAAGATTATTGTAATATATTGAAATTCCATAGAGCTATAGACTATAGAGCAAATTCTCTATGAAACTTTTGCTAAAAGCTTGCAAATTTGCTAAACTTGCTAAGTTTAATGATGTCAAAGCCGGGAAATTGCCGACAAAATTTAAATCGAACTTTAAGTGAAAAGAAAAGATTACGGTATTTGCCAGATAAGCATCGCTTTAATGTTTATTTCTTCATTTTTCTAATAATCAAAAAAGATCAGTATCACGTACTTCCTCAAAATTTTCCCATGGTAATTTCAGAGCTCCTTTTGAATGCTCAATTAGTGTTTTGTAGTACAAATTCAACAAGCTTTCCAATCTGAAAATTGAATTTTCTTTTGAAATTGTGAGAATTTGTGAGGATTTGTGCTTTAAAAGATCGAAAATGAAGTAATATTATCAAAATACAATCTACAAAAAAACTCCAACAACTCTAAGAATCAACAACTCTAAGAATTAACAGCTCTAAGAATCAACAACTCTAATTTGAATTAGCGAATCGTATAAGAAACGTACGGCCTTATAAGAAACTCAAAATTCAAGATGATTTTCTAAACAAAATCTCTCGTGAAACGTTTTGCAAAAACAAAAAAACAGATTCTCGATCTCGATCTCTAAAAGATGAACTTGGTCTCAGGTTAAAAGGGCCGCTTGTAAGGCATCAATTACGGTATTTTTTTGTTTTAAAGGCATAAGCAAGTCCTTATAAGCAGAAATAAAGTCAACAACAATCCAACAACTTTACTCCTTTTGAAAATCATCGGGGGAAAGTGCGGTGAGAGTGATACGACACAGATCGATGAGGGGATTATTGAGGTGAGCTGTCTGAAAGTGAGAAATTATTATCCACCATTATAAAGCATTCAATCATATAAAGCACTTTTTCATCACTTTATAGACAAGAATTTGGAGAATTTCTCGTGAAATTCCATAGAAAATACATAGGCTTCTGCCTTGGACATTAAAAGTTCAGAAGTTCAAAAGTTCAAAAGCGAACAGGAAAATATGTTATAGCCAAGTAGTACTTTATTTGCCTATGAACGTTTCGAGAATGTTAAGAACAGTTTTCTTTTGTGAAAACAGTTTTCCTTTCTTTTCTTTTCGCTCTAAAAGATGAAGGGACAACCATGATTTTGCAACCAGAGAGAAATGGAAAGCCTAGGGATGGGGGGCAAAAATGGAAAAGACCCGGGTAAACGCTCGTTGGTTTCACTTTTGCCCCCAATTTTGCGTTTTGGGGGACGAAATGATACTATCAAATCGTTACCCACGTGGAGGGGCGGGGGCAGAACTGGAAAGGTACCGCAGACAACATTTTGACAAAGTCTACTCACTGGCCTTTCCTAATTTTTTTGTTATCATCGAGTAGGTGATCGGAGGGCCAAATGCAGGTGAGCTTGGCCATTTCTGGTGGTGGGGCTAATCTGGAATGATGGGGGCAGGACTGGAGTGGGGGCAAAAGCCGAAGATTCCGAAGATGAAGAATTAGGTGATGAAGGTGCTTTAAACATAAACGCTTCACGTATTTTGCTAAGTTGTATCTCAATGCAGAATGGATTCAATAAAACGGATTTTCAAGTCTTACTGCCTAGATATTATCCAAGAATGCTGTAAAACGAGAGGCTGAACAATTAACAACAAAGTGCGAATAAGCTAAAAGATTTCCTTTCCGCTTACCTGCCAATCAATAATTTTCAACATCTCATAATCATTCGTTTCCCCATTTCTCCTCCACAAAACATTTCCCAAATGACAATCCCAGTGACATAGTAACGAAATTTTACCTCAAATCTTCACAATTCTTTGAAAATAACCATTCCCAACAATATTTCCCAGCTTCTTCCCACATTTTCGTCACATCACCGAAAGTTTTTGCAAGATTCGACAATTTTCTAGCATCTTCTTTTAAAGTGGGATAACGATCAGCGACTGTAAGCAGATTTTTTGAACAACTCTAAAATTTTTCTCAAAATTTAACCTCTATTTTGCATACCTCTCTTCCAAAACCACCTCTCATGTAGTTTTTGGCTCCAAAAGCTGAGGCATCAAAGGCTTTTAGTTGATCAAGAAGGGCAGCGTTTGAGAGTACTAAACTTTCTAATCTTTAATGTTTTAATTGAGCTTTAAAAGCTGTAAGTCAGGTCCAGGTTCAACCTTTGTCAAATCTGGATATATTTTTGACTCAGCAACAGACCATGTAAGACCAGCATCATACTTGCTAGGTATTATAGTTAGCTAGGCTTCTGAACTGACTATATTAGAAACCTTTTTGTTGTTAGATTGTTAGAAAAACTTTTTGTTGTTTGTTAGAAAGCTTTGTTAGAGATCTAGTTATTTTGCGGAACAGGCCTGCAGCAAAACTACCTGTAAAACCAGGATCAGGGCTTGACCAGAAGCCAAGTTCAAGACTTGACCAGAAGCCAAGTACAATGCTTGACCAGAAGCCAAGTACAATGCTTGACCAGAAGCCAAGTGCAAGGCTTGACCAGAAGCCAAGTACAATGCTTGACCAGAAGCCAAGTACAATGCTTGACCAGGAGCCAAGCCCTGGAACCTGGAGCCTGCAGGCCTGGCCCACAAAGTCCCTAAAGTCGCACAAAGGGAACAGAAATCTGACCCTAATCTTTGCTGATTTATTTATCTTCTTGATGTCAAAGTCTAACAAATAAATATTGAGGCATTCAGACTGAGTCTAAACTCTACAGGGTTGCCCATATAACTCTAAGTGTAGTAGCTTATTCCTAACTATCTCGATCAAAGCTGAAATTTTGCACTGAGCATAAAAGCATTTCAAAAATCAAATTTGGACTTCTAACAAGACTCACAAAGCCAAAAAAGCTCAAGAGCCTGAGCCAGCAAACTAAAGTTTCCAGATTTTATCTCTTTTTCTGAATCGCGCATCTCGCTGGATAACAAGCTGATGGATTTTTCCGTCCTTGAGACAAAAGTCTGCACAAAACCGGATAAAAATGTTAAAAGTATGAAGAAAAGTCTTCTAAAAGTCTGGGATGAACTCAATGATGTTTACTTTCCTTTCCTTAAAGCTTGATAGCATTCTCGGCTAAAAAATGGTGATCCCTTTGAATTTAATTATTAATTTTTTTTTTGTTCATTAATATCAAATAAAGATTTTAAACAAAAGTTTCCTTTTTTAAAGTTTCATTTTGTTTACCTAAAAATCTTTTTTATCTGTACCTATGGTCGCGTCCGTTTCCTTCCTATTTGCGTTGCTATTTTGCAATTATTCGCGTCGCATTTTTCGTCCTTTTTCTCCCTTCCCGAAATGATTTTTTTTGGTCTGTGGGGGTTTTTGCCTTCTTTTTGTTTTTGCCTTCTTGGGGGACTTTGTTGTTTCATTTTTGATGCGCATGCTGTTTTTGTAATGGGTATTGTTGCATTTCGGTTCTGTACTAATAAACAGTAACGTTATAAATTCACTTTACTTTATGCTACCCTTCAGGTTTTAAAATCCTGTTTACATGACTGGTTTTACATGATTGTAGAGAGGTTTTACTAACATTTGTGTCACCATCGACGTAGTATCAATCCGATCTGTACTCTTCTCAAGAGTATTAATCTATTGTTGGATACTACGTGTTCTTGTTACGTTGTAAGCGCTTTTGGGGGAAACCTTTTTAACCTTTTGTGCTATTCGGCCATTCTTAAGCAGAATCATCCTCGCTGATAAGGTTAAAGCGGGTCGCACCCCAAACTTTATTATTAGCCACTCAGTACAATGTTTGGGTACATTTTAAAAACTCAATGTACAATGTACAACAGGTGATTCTTTGAGTACGCAATCACACTTCTACTCGGAACAAATGATTGATGAATAATTCAACAATTATTTGTATCAATATTCTGAAAGAAACAAACGATCAACAATTTCTGAAAGATCTCAATGAAATTTCGTCATTCAAACATTGTCATTCAAACATCTAATCATCAATAAAATTCACTTACAGTAGCCATTGATTCTCGCCAAAGCTTTGACCACTTCTGCAACTCCATTCACCGAGATATTTGTATGATATTGGACAAATGAGATCTCTTCGATGAATTCACAAAGAAAATAGCCTAAGGAAAGGATTGAATCACATTTTAATCATTTTTAAAATCCCCATTTCCCCACCAGCATTAATGTCTTTATTCTCGTAGTCAGCACCACCAAAATATTTTGGTATTTTTGCTGTTTCTTCAAAACCCCAAAGATTCGCGTTTTTGTAGATAAAATGTTCTGTGTTATGAATCTGCAAAATGTTTCTGAAAACTTGACATTTAATCAATCATACAATAGCCGCTTTTTGAGCACATTCCTCGTCCGACACTGTACACTTTCCACTGATTGCTGTCGAGACGTTGATGATCGATTGTTTTGTGGTCACCCAAAAATTGAGTTGTTCTTATGGGGAAAAAATTCGAGATCAAGTTGAAAAGTTGAACACTTTTTTATGGAGATACGTTAATTAAATGCATTAAATTGTGTAAACTTTATCAAAGGAAGTTTTTGTTTTTCCAACTAAAACAAAGAAAGAAAGAAATAAACAGACAGACAGACAGACAAACAAACAGACATACAGACAGACAGACAGACAGACAGACAGACAGACAGACAGATAGACAGACAGACAGACAGATAGACATACAGACAAACAAACAAAGAAACAGACAGACAGACAAACGAACAAACAAACAAACTCAAACAAACAAACAACAAACAAACAACAAACAGACAGACAAACAAACAAACAAACAAGGCTTTATACATAGAATAGAAGAGCTTCTTCTATAGAACAGAACAATATTTGCCTAGGACAGCTTTTTTAGATAGTAATTAACTCCAAAACTCGTTGGACATTAGCAAATTTACATGAAAGTATTAGGCTTTTCGGCTGGAGTGCAGTTTACCCCCGCCTCCATGAAAAATTTCCGAAAACCACTTTTCTAGGGGTTTTCGACCATACTGAATCCGAATAACATAGTCCCAATCACCGGAAACAAAAAAAAATTTTGCCTTGGGGACTAAGGCAAAAAGTTAAACTCTTTCTTTTCTTTTTTTGTTGATTTTATACCGATTTTACTAATATCTAATGAATTTTTCTTTTAGGATGACGGTTCTTTGATAATTTATCAATTACGGCGGCGCCCATGCTAGCCCGTGATGCGTGGCATATCGTTCATCCTCACAAAACGAAACTACAATAAAGCACGACAAGTCTCGGGCTTTTCATTTCCCTATTTGCCATTTCTTTCCCATTTACCCACCTTCAATAGCAATCGATCAGGAAGATCAAAATCGTTTTTTTCCAAGTCCAGGAAGAGGGTAAAGAGCGAGGAAACAAGACCCTGTAAAGTCTTTTTTTTTCAAGTTCAACTTTCTCTCCCTAACCGCCCCTTCACCAGTTTTCTCGGCTCGTCTCTTTGAGCCAAGTTTAATTGATTTTCCGAAATTTCTCCTTAAAATCATTTCGATGATCGTCCATTTGATCGGAGTATCGAAAATGAAATCATTTTCCTAAATTTTTTTGATTTATCTAATGCCGTTTAGGAAATTTAGCCGTTAACGAATGGTTCGTGATCGGCTAGCCGTTCAAGAATGATTCGTAATTGGCTAGCCGCCAAAGAATGATTCGTAAATGGCTAGCCGCTAAAGAATGATTCGTAATCGGCTAGCCGCTGAAGAATGATTCGTCATCCGCTAGCCGCTAAAGAATGATTCGTAATCGGCTAGCCGCTAAAGAATGATTCGTAATTGGCTAGCCGTTAACGAATGATTCGTAATTGGCTAGCCGTTAACGAATGTTTCGTAATCGGCTAGCCGCTAAAGAATGATTCGTAATTGGCTAGCCGTTAACAAATCATTCGTTAACGACTAGCCGATAACGAGTGAAATTTTTTCGCTAGCCGTGTACAATTTGTAATCGGCTTCTGCGAACATGGCCTGATCCAAATGAGTTTTTGATTTCGAACTATTTATGCAAGACGCAAATCAGCTTATCTAGCTCAAATCGCAAATCGTTAGCGGCTAGCCGTTAACGAATGATTCGTTAGCGGCTGAATTTCGTAAGCGGCTACGACACATAAACTTCAAACCTCATTAAACATTAGCAAATTTTTAGTAAAAATAATTGAAAATTAGAGATATTCAGTAAAATCAATGAAAACAGTGCAACAAAATGGTCGGCAAACTGTTTCCAATATGGGTAAAGTGGAGAAAGTCTTTTTTTTTTTTTTTTTTTTGATACATAATCTATCAAAAAAATGTTAGAAAAATGATCATATGAGAGAGAAAACGGAGAAAATATTGAAAAGTGAGACTTTTCGAAAGTTTCGTCAACAATTTATAGGTTATAAATTGTATAATAGATTAGTATCTTTTAATTAAATCCAGATTTTAAGTTTTAAGTTCTAGTAACAAATTAAAGAAGAAAAATCTCTTCTAACACTTTTTGGGCTCATTTGTGCACCCCATCGGGGACGCGTTTCAAAATTTTCTCGAGACACTATTGGAAGGTCTCTGGGTAAACCCTAACCTCAAACTTGGGTAATTAAACCGAGGCACGCGGTCTCTGTCGCGGTATCTGTGAGGTCCGCGTGCCAGATGCCACTTTTTCCTAGGAGAGACACGAAGAGTACACACAGTCGTGCCGTCTCGTATCTCTGCTGCTGGTAATTTCAGGCATCCGTCAACGGAAAAGCGC